ATAACTTAATATTTCAATAAATCCACCAATGAAATAAACAGTCTATAAATATATGTTTCCAGATGGGTATGGCGCTTATTCAGGAGCACAAATGAGAAATTATATATCACAGTATAATGAATAAGAAGTGTTCAAAAGTACTGCAGGCTTGACTTGGTCATGTCAGCAATAAAGTGCTTAACTTTTAAACTCCATAGGTTCTTCCCATAAAGAAATCCTTGTGATAAAAATCCGTTCAGCAATGTATAAAATGCGCACTCACCAGATGCACATAGGTTATGAGCATTAAACCAATATGACTCTTTAGGGGCCCCTTTAAATGGAACAACCAGGCGCAAGGATCCCTCATTTGGACACCAGCTTCACATGCAGCGCGGTTCCTCTGGGGGTCTCTGAGCTTATTACCGCAGAGCCAAATGATATATAAAATACCGATCGTGTAGTGTTTTTGGAAAATAAGTCTTTTATTAATATGTAATGGTCATCCAATGATAAAAAGCATTCCAATCAGTATAAAATATAAAAATATGCGATGGGTGAATAGTCAGAGCACATGTGGCTGATCAGCCACTTTCCAAAATGGCCACCGGACCTCCGTACGGCTCCGTACAGCTCCGGCGGCGTGACGGCATGATGTTAGTGCTCCTTCTTGATGTGTTTCGTGCAAGAGCACGTTCTCAAAAGGGGTGTGCCTGATTATTTTATAACCACTGCTTATTAGAAGCACACTGTTCATGTATGTGACACTATAGGTTAATCACAGAGGAATTTCTGATGTGGATAGAAATGGATGACTGCTTATATAAACATATTACAACTGTGATATTTGTACTCAAGAAACACTATTATTGTGCACGTATCTCCAGTTTGTGAGATCTAAATCTTTCTTGGGGTTTCGCAACATTCCGGGCCACTAAGCTAATATTTGTTCTAAGTTATTCTTCACCTATTTGTCTGTTGTATGTACATTTTTTTCATTGTGATCTGTAAAGGCTTGTTCAAACAGGTGGTCCATATTCCTGAGGAGTGTAAAGTAGTTCAGTCTAAAAATGGCATTCGTATATGTTTTGTATTTCAATGGTTTTTATTAGTTTAGCAAACATTTCAACAAGACTTGAACAACAAGACACACCCATGCAGGGGCTATCAATGGCACATAAAAAGTAAAGAAACAGTGCTCTAACACCAACCGAGCAAAAGGTGCTCCCACACAGGGCTATCAGTTGCACATAAACAGTGATATAACATGGACAGCAGCTCAAACCAATGGCAGCTATCCACCGCCTCATAAAAGACAAATAAAAATAGAAAGGAAAAATGAGTAGAAAAGGAAGAAGAAGACAAGACCAGGAGCTGGGGTCTGGGAACGCCAATACTGAACAACATCACAAACCCAGACTAGCTGGGAGGAGCATGGGAAAGGCATATGTCAACCACGGCTCCCATATTTTCAAACATTTCCATTGGAAGTCGTTACAGATACTCGACATCTGTTCATTAAGCATCAGAGTGGTCATACGGTCCCGCACTCCCTGAAGAGGGACAGACGAGCTCTTCCATGCCTGAGCAATTGTTCTAGTTGCCGACAAGAATAAATAAGAAGCCAACTTCTGCTGGTGAGCCAGCAGGCCCAATATGAGACAATGAAGCAAAGAGTACCGAGCATCCCGGTGTATGGAGAGATGGAACGAGGTGAAAAGGAGGCCAAACACACAAGACCAAAAACAAATTCATTTTGGGCATGACCACCATATATGCAGCACATCTCCACGATGACCACAACCCCGAAAGCATCAATCACTGCAGGCAGGGTTTCGCCTGGGACCCAATACCAACGAAACAATACTTTGTATGCCGCTTCCAGCGTGGTTGTATTAAATGAACATTTAGCTATAAATGACCAGGCCCTATTCCAGTCCTCCAGATTCATGGCAGCCCCCAGGTCGCGCTCCCACTGAGCGACATATGAGAGAGAAGTACGCATTGAGCGCCTATTCAAAGATGCATAAAGTAGGGAAATAAGGCCCAGGGCACCCAGACACTGTTGGCAAAGCTCTTCAAAGGCAGATTTCTGATACAGGAAAGTGGAAGTGCCCTGCAGTGAGGTCTGCCAATGCCGCAATTGGAGGTAGCGGAGAAATTCTGCCTAAGGGACATCCTATGACTCCCGAAGAGAATTCCAGGTTGAGAAGGACCGAGAAGTCAAAAACTGTCGCACCTGCGAAAAACGATTGGCCACCCACCAAGAGAACGCCCTTGGTTGATCCAAACCCGGCGGGAAGAGATTATTGTTAATAATTGGGAGCAAAGGTAGAAAAGGTGATATCAAGCCACTGGAATAGCGTACTGAGTCCCACACTTGTAGGCCCTGGAGCAAAATCGAACTCATTGTCATAGGGCGCAGGGCAGGGGGGAGCCACAGAAGTGTCAATGTTGCAATAGGGGCACAATTAGGTAGCTCCAGCAGAACCCAGAGAGGAATGTCAGAGGAAGTATGCAACATAGACAGTGGGGCAATCTGGCTTGTCTGATAATACTTAGTTACATTAGGCACCCCAAGACCTCCTTGGAGTCTATGGACAAAAAGCGTATTCCTGGAGACCGGAGCATCTGTTGGCCCAGATAAATCACATAATCCTTGCCTGAATCAATTGAAGGAAATGAGGAGGAACCCGCACTGGGAGGGTGCGAAAATAATATAACAATTTAGGCAGGATTGTAATTTTCACTAAGTTAACCCGTCCTATCCAAGATAGGTACGGAAATTGCCAGGAGTGCATAAGAGAGGACACAGAGCAAAGCAATGGATAATAATTTGCAGCAAAGAGCCATAGGTAGGGGTCAAGTGAATGCCTAGGTATTCAAGCAAAGAGGAAGCCCATTTGTAGGGGAAGTGGGATTGTAGGCGCAAAACCAAATCTGAGGTCAAAGTAATATTGAGAGCGACAGTCTTATCCAAATAATATAAAACAGTGTAGCGCTAATAATAAAATAATTCAACACACATATATAAATATACCAAAGTGATAAATGAAGTGATATAATCCTGCCAGGATCAAAGGTGAAATATAGTGATAAATGTGAAGAAATGAATCCTATAAACTAGTGAATGAAAACACAATCCCCCTTATCCACAATTGAGGGATCCAATACTCTCATATATAATTGTGAAAATACATAAAAAGTGAGTCCCCTATGTGGGGATATGACCAATACAAACAATAAGTGTCACACGCCACACTTAACCACATCCAAATATACACATATAAAATGATAAACCCACAAATTGAAATAACAAAAATTGTCCAAAGTTGTTGAAAACATAAACACGTGCTCCAACTGCGAATTCGTGCAAGTGCTAAGGTGTATAAGTGGTCACAGCAATAGTGTCAATCCTCAAGTGGCCAAAATGCCCCCTCACCTCCTTGCATTGACCACAAGGACCAGCTCACCTTTGGGATCACACCGATCCTTACAGGTACTTATTCGTCACAGGATCCCCCTCAATGGTGGCACATACTACTCTCCTTTTAAGACCTCCTCCAGACAGATAGCAGCAATACCGATCTCCCATAAAGGATCATACCAATAAGTAAAAAGATCCTCCATACTGTAATCTTGTTTAATCAATAAAGAATAATCACAAAATAATGATAGCCCACTCACATTTGCTCCATTGCATATCAGCTTTCTACCTCATGCTATGGGTGTACTGCATGGGTAGTAAAAGGTGTTCCAATATGGCGCCCACGCCGCAAATGTTCCTGCCCACGTACCTCTTTTTATGTCCTTTTCCATCTTTATAAAGTTCCATTACCTTGTTATGCAGTATGTTTGACAGTTTTTTTTCTGATCCCCATGGCTCAGTATCTAGCCTAGTCAGTGCTTCCATGTAAGAGCCAACAAACTCATTGACTATTTATACACTGACACTAATTGCAATTTAAAAAAGCCACAGATGTGGGACATTAACCTCTAATTGGCATTTTAACCTGTGTGTGTCACCTTGTGTGTCTGTACCAAGGCCAAACATTGCAGGGTATGTAAACTTTGGATCATGGCCATTTGGGTAATTTCTGTTATCATTATGATTTAAAAAGGAGCCAAACAACTATTTGATAATAAATGGCGTCATATGATCATCATCCTTCAATAAAAGAGTATTTTTTGGCATGATCAGCCAGGCCTTCTCGTCCGACATCAGTACCTGACCTCAAAAATGTGCTTCTAGAAGAAAGGTCAAACATTCCCATAGACACACTCCTAAACCATGTGGACAGGTTTCCCAGTTGAAGGTGTTAACTGCAAAGGGTGGGCCAACTCAATATTGAACTCTACGGACTAAGACTGGGATGCTATTAAAGTTCATGTGTGTGTAAAGGCAGACGTCAGGAGTCCCAATAGTTTTGGCAATACAGTGCATGTCCTACTAACGGGGAGAAGGGGGGTGACACAAGCCCCAGCTGTCAGTTTCAGGCTCAAGACTAAAGGTATATAGGGTGAGAGGAGTAGATAAGTGTGTTTTTTGGCATTGGAAAGCAGACCTAAGCACAGACTCTGTTCTCTAAGATGAGGCACCTCATTGTGTGTGCACAAAGTGTGGAAGCTCCCCATTGAGGGGGACAGGGGTTCCTTCCCCCTGTGGAGCAAGGAACTTCTCCCCTTGTGGAGCAGGGATTGAGTTGTCAGATTTACGGGCACATAGAACAGTACAATAGAAGGCATTTTTTCCTACTTTGATGGGCACTGAATTCCTCCTAGTTGAGACATTTGTAAAGATACTTTGGTGTTGATTTACTAAAACTGGAGAGTGCAAGATCTGGTGCAGCTGTGCATGGTAGCCAATCAGCTTCTAAGTACAGCTTGTTCAACTAACCGCAACCCACCCGCCATATATGGTAATGACGGGTACAAGGTGGTTCTCTCGTTCTGGGAGGACATCATATCACATCCTCCCACTCTAACCGCACGTGCGAGTCCCCAGAGGCGCGCAGCACGGCGATCGGTGGTAAGCTGTGTCCTTGGGACAATGGAAAGAGCCCAAGACATCAGCTCTGTCAGGCGATCAGCTGTGTCCAATCACAGCTGATCGCATGTAAATAAAGAAATGCCGGTTATCGACATTTATCTCCTCACAAGCTGTCACACTGACAGCTCGTGAGGAGAAGAGAGATGGTAATCGGCATACCTCAGAGGGATATGTACACTGATCATCAGGGCACTGATGATCAGTGTGCCCTGATTATCAGTGTAGCCCCATCAATGCCACCTGGCAGTGCCCATCAAGGCCACCTGTCAGTGCCCATTAGTGCCATATCAATGCCACATATCAGTACCTACCAGTGGACATCAATGCCACATATCAGTGCCCATCTGAGCTGCCTTTCAGTGCCATCTATCAATGCCAGTCAGTGCTGCCAATCAGTGCCACCTGTCAGTGCCGCCTATCAGTGCGCATCAGTGCTGCATGTCAGTGCCGCATATCAGTGCCGCCTAACAATGCCAGTCAGTGCCACCTAACAGTGCCAATCAGTGCCACATATCAGTGCCAGTCAGTGCAACCTATCAGTGCCACCTATTAGTGCCATATACGAGTGCTGATTTTCAGTGCCCATCAGTGATGCCTGACAATGCCCATCAGTGCCACCTACCAGTGCCTCCTCATCAGTGCCACCTATCAGTGCCCATCAGTGCAGCCTCATTAACGCACATCAGGAAAGGAGAAAAATCACTTATTTACAACATTTTATAACACAAACTAAGCAAAACCTTAAAAAAAAATTTCAGTTGTTTTTGGTTTGTTTAGCAAAAAATAAGAAACCCAGAGGTGATTAAATACCACCAAAAGAAAGCTCTACCTTTCTCAAAAAAAAATGATAAACATGTCATATGGGTACAGTGTTGCATGACCACGCAATTGCCATTCAAAGTGCGACAGCTCTGAACTCTGAAAATTGGCCTAGGCAGGAAGGGGGTAAAAGTGCCCGGTAGACAAGTGGTTAAGCTTTGGCAAAAAAAAACCTGGAAGCTGATTGGTTTCTATTTAGAGCTGCACCATATTTTGCACTCTCCGGTTTTAGTAAATCAACCCCTTTGCCTGTGAGGGAACAGCAATAAATACTGAAAACTTGTATGCTGTAAACATTGTAAGCAGTAAAGGAACCCTCATTTAAGCAAGTGCCCTCCAGTCAGGCCATTGTTATATTCTGGGGTAATATTCTATCTCAAGGAGATTGTGCATGGAGGGAAATGTGGGGTCTTAGGAGTTAATGGTCAATGATGCAAGGAAACCCTTGTTCTTTATTATTTATTTATTTCAGGTACTTATATAGCGCCGTCAATTTACTCAGCGCTTTACATATATATATTGTACATTCACATCAGTCCCTAACCCTCAAGGGGTGTACAATCTAAGGTCCCTAACTTACATTCATATACAAGGGCCAATTTAGACAGGATCCAATTAACCTACCAGCATGTCTTTGGAGTGTGGGAGGAAACCGAAGTACCCGGAGGAAACCCACACAGGCACAGAGAGAACATGCAATCTCCAGGCAGGAGGTGCCGTGGCTGGGATTCGAACCAATGACCCTAGTACTGCCATGCGGAAGTGCTAACCATTTAGCCACTGTGCTGCCCATATGCTCAGATAATAAATGTAACATTACAGTAAAGTTAAACCCTGTCTGGATGACATTTAGTTTGCTAATGTACCGTGTATCATAAACAGTTGCCATTTTAAAAAAAATAAGATACTCTTTTTGCCATTTTTTCCTCCTTTGATGCATTTCAGCACTGTCGATTTCTTGCAACCACTTGCAGTCTGGATACATGTACTCCATCAGTGGCCATATGTCATTTCTCAGGGTGGGTTTCCTGGTGACTGCACAATGTGTGTTAAATTGGCCATTTTTGGTAACCCGTGTGATGGGGTGACAATGTAGGAGCATAACTGGACAAAATGTTGTCACTCTGTAAAGGGAGGTGCCATGAACAAGCACCGTCGTGGTGGGATCATATTGCAGTTTACCAGTCCTTAGATGTGGTGGTTGCATCAGTTTTCTTTTTAGACCTTTTTTCCTTTATTTTAAGGACACCCTACAATCTGGTTAAGTTAAAGTTAAAGGAAAAGTAAAAAAAAAACCATAACAAATAAAAAGTACAAGTACAAAAAAAAAAATAAAAAATGTTAAAAACCAGAAATTGTTGGGTTTTTTTTGTTGTTGTCGAGTTACTGCTCTACTGTTACGATGTTAATGTTTTATTGTTAACCATTGCTGTTTTCTTTGCAGGAATGCCATTCATATGCAGCATCGACTTGTTTATTCTGACAGCAACACGGTCTTGCTCTCAGAATATATATAAAGTAGGTGTGTGCAGTGCTGTTGGATGAGATTTTTCATCCGCAGTTAAAAAAAAGAGAGCATATATGCAGAAGCAAGGGGGCCTTGGGTGGCCAGTGGGTGGATGGCCCCTATGCTTCGGTGTATATATTTTATATTTTTGGCACACATTTCAATTAAAAAAGTGGTTTTATTGAGTTACTGTTTTCTTTGTAACCATTGCGGGTTTTCTTTTGCAGGAATGCCATTCAGCTGCAGCACCGACTTGTTTATTCTGACACCAACAGGGTCTTGCTCTCAGAATTTTTCATCCACAGTTAAAAAAGAGCAATTATGCTGAAGCATAGGGGCCTGGGGTGGCCAGTGGGTGGATGGCCCCTATGCTTTGGTATATATTTAAAAAAAAATATTTTTGGAAGAGATTTTTTCATCCACATCGACCGATGTGAACAGAGGAACATTTCATGTGTGCTCACCATTAGAAGTGGGTGGATGCAGGGTGGTATATTCTAATGGTGGGCATACCATACACTTTTTTTTCTGGCAGAGATTTCCTTTTTTTTCATTCAGCCCACAGCATGCATGAAAAAAAAAGAACAAAGCATATACACCAAACAAAGACCAGCGATATTCTGGTACATCACTGGACTTTGAGTGGTTATACCAGGATGATGCCTGCAGCTGAAAGCCATCGATTGGCTTTCATGTAAAAGCAATCCTATTGGCTAATTAGCTGCAAGATTGCTTTTACAAGCAGTGGGAGAAGATGCCCCCCCCCATGCTGCCTTACACGGCCTTCTCAGGCAGTCCTGTGCCATCGGGGGAACCTGAGAAGGCAGCCGGTGTTTCTGCCAGCTGACCATAGAGCTGATTTGAGACCAGAATTGTGCCAATCATCTATGTAAATTCCAAATCTATGTAAATTCCATTATCTATACCATAGCTTGTAGATGCTTTAACTTTCACAAAAAACAATTAATATGCAGTTACTGGGATTTTTTACCAAAGACATGTAGCAAAATACATTTTGGCCTAAATGTATGACGAAATTTGAGTTTTTTGGATATTTTTTATGGCAGAAATGAGAAAATATTATTTTTTTTCAACATTTTCAGTCGTTTTTGGTTTATATTAAAATTTAAAAGTGAACAGGTGATCAAATGCCACCAAAAGAAAGTTCTATTTGTGTGAAAGAAAGGACCTAAATTTTGTTTGGGTACAGCACTGCATGACTAGCGCAGTGCTGTATAGCAAAAAATGACGTAAATTGCAGTATCTATACCATAGTTTGTAGATACTATAACTTTCACACAAAGCAATCAACATACACTTATTGAGATTCTTTTTCACCAAAGACATGTAGCAGAATACATTTTGGCCTAATGTATGATTAACTTTGAGTATATTATATATTTTTTTATAGCCAAAAGTAAAAAAATAACATTTGTCAAGAATGATGACTATACCCTACCTTTCCACCCTGAAAAAAAGGTGTACTATAGTAGAATAGTATACTGCACCAAACTTGTAGGTAAATAATAGAACTAGAACTTATAAATGGAAAAGTGAGTTTGATAATAAAGTTGGCAGTTCCTCTGTGTCTTCACCTAGGACAGGGCCTCTGTGAGCAGAGGGGATTCCCTTTCTAAGAAATTTACCAGTAATCTAATCAAAGAAATTGGGAGCAGAGGAATTGCTGTAGCCAGCATACAACATTAACCATAAGTATATACAGTGCATCTAGAAAGTATTCACAGTGCTTAACTTTTTTCACATTTTGTTATGTTACAGCCTTATTCCAAAATTGATTAACCACCTCCCGCCCGCCATATGATCCAATGACGGGCGCAAGGTGGTTCTCTCGTTCTGATAGGCCGTCTTTTGATGGCCTTCCATTCTCACCGTGCATGCGCGACTCAAGGAGCTCGCAGCGCGGTGATCGGCGGTGCTCTGTGTCCCTCGGACACAGCGGATCACCGATCCACGGAAAGAGCCGAAGATGTTGGCTCGGTTATGTGATCAGCTGTGTCCAATCACACCTGATCACATGTAAACAGGAAAATGCCGGTTATCGGCATTTCTCTCCTCTCGAGCTGTCACGCTGACAGCTCAAGAAGAGAAGAGAGAGCTGGTAATCGGCATTCCGCGGAGGGTACATGTACACTGATCAGCAGGGCACTGATGATCAGTGTGCCCTGATGATCAGTGTGGCCCCAGAAGTGCCACCTGTCAGTGTCCATCGGTGCCAGCTGTCAGTGCTGAACAGTACCACGTGCCAGTGCCCATCAATGCCACATATCAGTGCCTACCAGTGCACATCAATGCCACATATCAGTGCCCATCTGAGCTGCCCTTCAGTGTCACCCATCAGTGCCAGTCAGTGCCACCTATCAATGCCAATCAGTGCCACCTATCAGTGCTGCCAGTCAGTGCCGCCTATCAGTGCGCACCAGTGCCGCCTATCAGTGCGCATCAGTGCCACCTATCAGTGCCAGTCAGTGCCACCTATCAGTGCCATATATCAGTGCTGCCTTGCAGTGCCCATCAGTGATGCCTGCCAATGCCCATCAGTGCCACCTACCAGTGCCTCCTCATCAGTGCCCATCAGTGCCACCTATCAGTGTCCATCAGTGCATCTTATCAGTGCCCATCACTACAGCCTCATTAGCGCACATCAGTGAAGGAGAAAAATCACTTATTTACAAAATTTTATAACAAAAACTAAAAAAAAACATTTTTTTTTTTCAAAATTTTCAGTGGTTTTTGGTTTGTTTAAGAAAAAATAAAAAATCCCAGAGGTGATTAAATACCACCAAAATAAAGCCCTATCTGTCACAAAAAAAATGATAAAAATTTCATATGGGTACAGTGTTGCATGACCGCGCAATTGTCATTCAAAGTGTGACAGCGCTGAGAGCTGGAAATTGGCCTGGGCAGGAAGGGGGTATAAGTGCCCCGTAGGTAAGCGGGTAAACTAATTTTTTTCCTCAACATTCTACAAACAAAACCCTATAATGACAACATGAAAGAAATTTGTTTTGAAATCTTTGCAATTTATTAAAAATAAAAAACGAAAAAAAAACACATGTACATAAGTATTCACAGCCTTTGCCATGACACTCAGAATTGAGCTCTGGTGCATCCTGTTCCCAATGATCCTCCTTGAAATGTTTCCACAACTTGATTGGAGTCCACCTGTGGGAAATT